AGTCCCGCCCAAAACTAGAGGCACACCTCATGCAGGTGTGTCTAGGTCTTTCAAAGAGTCTTATGCCCATAGGCCATACCTGTCCTGTGCACTAGGAGTGAGAAAAAAATGGAGTGGGTGAAGGGAGAGGAAGTTGCAACCAGACCCCACAAGGCACGGATAAAGAGGCAGAGAAGGAAATTACCCCATATCCTCTAGCAGGAGAGCTGGGCCCCGGGTAGGGAGGAGGCCAGACTAGCCTGCTTCAGGGCAGAGTGCCCGTCAAATGTAAAGGAACCCACATCACTGAACTGGGGCCAAAGCAGCAGCCATTTTCACATGCAAGAATGGTGATGGAGCTGATCTCTGAGAGAGTCCCTACATAGGTATATGATGTTTTATTGACGTGAGACTCATATGAGATGGAATCATCAATGGTAAACGTGAGACTCATATGAGATGGAATCATCAATGGTAATTTTGGATGTGAAGGATTTGGGAGGATGAGCTGAAGAGGAAACGGATAGGATGCTGGATAAGGCAGTGTTGCCAACTGCAGGGCTCCCCCTGTGGAGGACAGAGGCAGTGCAGTCCAAAGTCCTAGACTCCTGGCAACCAGGTGAGCAGGTGCCTCTAGGTGCATTCCAGAGTAAGAGTGGAGTCCATGCAGCAGGGGACAGTTATGAAGGCTTGGAGGTCAGCAGTGAGGGGGGGGTGAGGGAACAGGCTGAGCTGAGGGACAGCCTAGGTATTATGACGTCCCTCCTTCAAGCTGGCTTCCATCAGGTAGGATACSTAGGTTCTATTTTTGTTTTGTTTGATTTACAGTATCTAAAAAAAATATTTTACTTGGGGAAATATACATTATCTAAGATTTACCCTTTTTCACAATTTTTGTGTGTATATTATTCAGTGGCATTCAATACATTCACTTCCTGGGCAACTAGAATTTTCTCATCTTCAAACTGTGACTTTGCACCTGTGATCAACCAACACCCAGTTCCCTTCCCCTGGGCCTCTTCTTCCTGCTGTCTCTGTGGGTCTGGCTGCATAGCCCTTATGAGTAGGAGACACTGGTCCTTTCCCAAGTTGTCTTCAGAATCATCTATGTTGGAGCCTGCATTGGGGCTTTTAGGGCTTGGTACTAGGTTCCTGTTGTGTGTGCACCTTCAGCTTATTCTTTGAAGCACTAGTGGCCACTCGGGTAGCTTCCATGCTTTGGCCATCATAGAGAATGGTGCTATGAACATTGGTGCACAAATACCCGTTAGAGCCTCTGCTTTCAACGTGGAGGGGGGTATCTACTAGAAGTAGAGTTGCTGAATCATGTAGTTCTGTATTTATTTGGGTCRGGGCAGGGAACTGCTGTATCATTTTCCACAGTGTCTGGACCCCTTCACATTCCCAAACAAGTGTTCCAATTTCTCCACATCCTCACCAACACCTATTATTTTCTGGTTTGGTTTTCTAGTAGCCATTTCAATGGGTGTGAAGTGTCATGTCACTGTCGTTTTGTTTCTTGTCTTTTGCTTTTGCTTCTGGTCCTGGGGATTGAACCCAGGGGTGCTTTACCACTGAACCACAACCCCAGTCATTTTTATTTTTAACTTTGAGACAGGTCTTGCTAAGTTGCTGAGGCTCTCCTCAAACTTGCAATCCTCCTGCCTCAGCCTCCTGAGTCTCTGGGATTACAGGCTCATTGTAGTTTGGATTAGCATTTTCATAGTGATTGCTGTTCATTAAAAAATCACACATGCCATAGTTTTAAACTTATAAACTCTCAATTAGTTTCCAATATGTAAATATTGTGAAGTCTGTAGGAATGATATGGAAAGACAACCTCCCTCAGCAATGGGAAGACGAGCTATTCCCCCAGGGCATGGATCTGCTGGAGCTGAGCTCAGCTTCTCTCTTGCTTGGACTCTCCTTCCACCACTGAGGTCCAGTCTACCTCCTCCAACAAAAATAGTACAAACAGTAATCAAAGAGAAGAACAACTGTCTTAATCCAACTGGGCTCCTCTAGCAAAATACTGGAGACTGGGTAATTTATAAACACCAGAAATTCATTATTCACATTTCTGTGTCCAGGAAGTGTGGTTCAAGATCCTGGCACCAGGGGGTTCCGTGTCTGCTGTGTTGCTGTCATCTTCTCACTGTGTCCTCACAGGAAGAAGGGGTGGCACACACCCTCCTGGCTCTCACAAGGCCATTAACCCCGTTAGTGAGGGCAGATCCATCAGGACTCAGGCCCACCTTTTAGTGACCTCATCTGGGAGGTTCAGATTTCAACCTATATGGGGCTCAGTGGTRRAGGCCTGGCCCAGCACCTGCGAGGCCCTGGGTTTGAGTCGCAGTACTGATTATAAATAAATAAATTAATTTAACAAATRTCCCTCGACAACTTTAAAAATATTTTAAAAAATGTTTTAACCTATAACTTTTAGAGGACACATATGGCTGTAATCTCAGCTGCTCAGGAGGCTGGGAATCACAAATTCAAAGGCAGCCTCAGCAACYTAGCAAAGGCCCTAAGCAACTTAGTTAGACCCTGTGTCTAAATGAAATATAGAAAGGCTTGGGGATGCGGCTCAGTGGTTAAAGGTCCCTGGGTTCCGGTCCCAGTCCAAGAAACCAAAACAAAACAAAGTGTTGGTGTTGGGGCGGAGGGACCAACCAAAGAAAGAGCAGCAAACTGCAGGACGCGGCCAGAGCTGAGGTGCGAAGCAGGGTGGTTACACTCCACAGAAACCTGCCTTCTCCTCACCTGGGGCTGGGGCAGAGCCCAGGGCAACTGAGGACGCCAGGCTGAGGTGAAGCCACAGGAGAGAGTCCAGCCCCGGGGACAACGCCCGCCAGGCCCAGCACCAGGCCCTGCAGCAGGGCTCACCCCTGGCAGCCAGCGGGATCCCAGCGGGGAGAGGGCCAGGGGACAGCTGCAGTTTATCCGGAACCGAATTACTGCTAAAGGACACTCCGGGAGGAGCAGGGCTGACTCTGGAGCGCGGCAACACGACGTACTGACCTTTAAAGTCCAGTCSGAAATCACTGAACAGATTTAAATCWRAACAGGAGGACGGAATGCGGTGGACACGCCCACGGTGGTGGACGCGCCCCCCCCCCCGTGAGGGACACGCCCACGCAGTGGACACACCCACGGCTAAAGACACCTGGAAGKTGAGGGACACGCCCAGGAGGACTTGGGGCAGCTGCTCTGACCCTGCTCTCCTGGAGCCCCACCTGGCTGCTGTCCCGTCCTCCCCTCCTCTGAGTTTGATTCCTTTAGATCCTCTCTCCACAGGATCCTTCTTTTGTCTGCCTTGTGGCACAGCACCTCCAGGGCCGCCCAGGTTCCCCGGGGCCACCAGGGTGGCCTTCCTCCTCTTCCTCCTCCGTCCTCCCTCCCTTCCTCCCTCCTCCCTCCCTCCTTCCTTCCTTCCTTCCCTCCTCCTTCCTTTTTTCCTTCCTCCTTCCTTCCTTCCTCCCTCCTTCCTTCCTTCCTCCCTCCCTCCCTCCTTCCTTCCTTCTTTCCTCCTTCCTTCATCCTTCCTTCCTCCTTCCTTCTCTTCCTCCTTCCTTCCTCCCTCCTTCCTTCCTTCCTCCCTCCCTCCCTCCTTCCTTCCTTCTTTCCTCCTTCCTTCATCCTTCCTTCCTCCTTCCTTCTCTTCCTCCTTCCTTCCTCCCTCCTTCCTTCCTTCCTCCCTCCCTCCCTCCTTCCTTCCTTCTTTCCTCCTTCCTTCATCCTTCCTTCCTCCTTCCTTCTCTTCCTCCTTCCTTCCTTCCTCCTTCCTTCTCTTCCTCCTTCCTTCCTCCCTCCTTCCTTCCTTCCTCCTTCCTTCCTTCCTCCCTCCCTCCCTCCTTCCTTCCTTCATTGATTGAACCCTGCGGTGCTCTATCACTGAGCCACATCCCAAGCCTTTTTGCTTATTTTATTTATTTATATTGTTTTAATGATTTCTTAAAATATTTTTAGTTGTCGATGGACCTTTATTTTATTTATTTATATGCAGTGCTGAGAATCGAACCCAGTGCCTCACATATGCCAGGCAAGTGCGCTGCCACTGAGCCCCAGCACCAGCCCCAGCCCTGCTTATTTTATWTTGAACACAGCGTCTTGCTGAACTGCCCAGGCTGGCCTCAGACTTGCCATCCTCCCTCCTCACCCTCCCCTGTAGCTGCCTCATCCCACTCCTGACCCTTCTTTTTATTTTATGACTGAATAATGTCAAAACCCTTTAGAAAGAGTAAATTACCAGGGATACATTCACACATGGAATACGCTATTCAGTACAAAAACAATATAAAACCCAAAAATGAACTATCCATATACGTCATATCATGGATAAGACAGAGAAACCATATTGAGAGTCAACATGAGCCCGCTGGGTGGACACGCCTGTAATCCCAGTGAGTCCGAAAGCCCGAGACAGGAGGATCGCAAGTTCAAGGCTAGACAGGGCAACTTAGCAAGACCCCGTCTCAAAATAAAWGTATTAAARTTGCCTGGGGCTTTGGGGCTGGGCAGAGTCTCTCATTCAATCCTAGAACTGGTGGGAGGGAGGCCCCACGCTATCCCACCAGGGGTAGGAAGCCCAGACTCTGGCAATACAGAAGTATATGGTTGGAGGAGGGATTGGTGGCCCCTGTGGAAGTGGGTGCACTGGAAGGGCCCAGAGAGCCATGGAAGGGTGGTGGAGTCAAAGGTGTGCCCACAAGGGAACTTCCGCCTACCTTGCTCTTCAATGTTCCTCTTACTCAACTGACCTTATGCATCAAAAAATGAACACACAGGGCGGGGTCAGCTCTGGCAAGCAGGGCTTAGCATGTAGGGGCGCCTGGTTCCATTCCCAGCACAAATAAAGAGAGGAAGGAAGGAAGAAAATGCACAGCAAGCCTTAGTTAAAATACGYCCAACAAAATGGAATGAAACGTTCAGCCATAATTGTGTTCCAGAAACTGCTGCAGAGATTGGAAATAGGGAAACCATTTTATGTTGCATTGTTTAATAAGTGTGTACTCATAGTTAAATGCTACAATATTTTACAATAATTATAATGAGGTAGGGTCTTCAACTGGAAAAGAAATGCTGGGTTCGGGACGCCCCGTGTATTCATGGGTTCAGGACGCCACATGTATTCCAGTCTCTGCTGACCGGGAAGTTGGGAGGCTGGAGTCTCAAGTGTTGAGATGGCAAGTTCTTGGTCTTGGGGCAGGAAGCCAAGTTCACTCCCTCTGCAGGGCTGGGGATGGAGGGGGAAGAGAAAGGTAGGAAAGAAGGGGTAGGATGGTACCATCAGGCAGTGGAGTGAGACCAGCAGGGATGGGTGGGGTAGGCAGATGGGCAGGCAGGAGGCAAAGAGGTGGTCAGTAGGTGAGCCCAGGGTCTCCAGGGAGAAGCTGGCAGGGAGGTCCATCTGGGCTGGGTGTCCATACCTCACTCTGTCTTGGGTAGGGGGCTCAGCCAGGCCTCTTGGCTCTGCTCCCCTGGGCACCTGCACACCTGCAGAGCCAACATGAGCCTCGGATCAGAGCCTGCCACTTTAATTCTAGCTCCAGGTGGCAGGACAGCTCAGCCCTCCTAGAACTCTGGGACCCCTCCCCGKGCTCCCTGGAGAGGGCTAGGCCAGCTCACCTGGTGTAGTAGATCCAGGTGAGGCCATAGGTGAGGAGGAAGCCAGCCCCCATGACAGCCCCCCTGACCAGGGTGAGGACCAGGGGCCAGGAGCCCTCCTGCTTCTCAGGGACACACAGGCAGSAAGAGGAGCTTCCTGGGAGAGGGGAGGGGTAATGTTCTGTCCCCAGCCTCAGTCCTCCCCCACCCATGGCCAGGCTGCTWCCCCAGCACCTGCCCTGCTACTCGMTCTGCACAGAGAGGCTCAGGGAAAGGTGCTGGGAGCCCAGCGGGTGTWGAACCTGGCAGGTAAACTCCCCTTCATCCTCAGCCCCCGGGAAGGGCAGCTCCAGGACCCCAGACGCTGAGACCTGGGAAGGACTCAGGGCTCTGGTCTTGCAGGACCAGCTCAGCRAGGCAGGCGGGTTGCTGTCCGCCATGCAGACCAGGTGCAGGGACTCACCCTCCAGGACGGGCARTGATGTGGGTCCACTTGGGACCTTCAGGGCTGGGGGGAGACACAGCAGGCAGGGAGCTGACGGGTCTGTTGCTCCCTCCTTCTTCCCATTGAGCAAGCAGAAAGACAAGACCATGTGGCAAGGACTGAGAAGGGATCGGTCATAGAGGTGCCCTGGGGTCAGGCCAGGTGCGCAGAAGGACAGGTGGGCGGAGCCGGGATGGAGGAGGATGGCTCTCATAGTAACAGGGAGGGGTGACTCAGAGAGCCATGGGCCAGCAATTGACCCAGCTCTGAGGTCCAGGAAGATGTACACATCTGCAACCAAGCGGTGAGAACCAGGTGCCCCCAAAGCAGCACTAAGGCTGGGACAGAGGCAGGGTCAGGACTTTGGAGCCTTCCCTGCCAGGCTGCAGGCCAGGGGCTTTGTCCTGAGGTTTTGCAGAGCTGAAGGGAGCTGTGAACAGGGACAGGACAGGAGCAGCACTGGGACCAGAAGATCCTGCAGGGACCAGGCAGGGCCTGGAYGGGAGAGGTTGGACAGGAGGTAGGGAGGCTGGGAAGAGGCTGAAGGTAGAGGCTAGRTTTGAGGACAAGACTTGGGCTGGGTCTGGCCAAGGGGAAGGAGAGGAGGAGAGTGACTTCAGAAGGAAAGGTCTTGAACTCACTGATGCAGGGTCACAGCTGGGGGAAGGCACTCACTTGGTGCATGTGCAGATAACCCCTTGGATAAGGGAAGGGGTGCTGGGGAGGCACCGGCTGGAGTYGGCTAAGTGTGCAGCTCGTGGCCCAGGGAAGGAGCTGGCCAGAGAGCTGGGGGGGGGGGCATCAGGGCAGGGTGGGAGGAGAGATGAGATCACCCAGAAAGAGAAAGAGAGAGAAACAGAGGTCCCAAGGAGCAGTGGGGAGAGGGGCCACTGAAGGCCCTGGGGACAGAGGAGCCAATGAGAGGAAAGGTGCCCGAATGGGGGAGGGATGGACAGGACTGCGGGAGCTGGGCGCAGCGCCAGCCTAGGGCAGAGAGCAGAGGCCGCAGTGGCCGGAAGGGGTCTGTTCAGGGGCAGTTTCAGTTCTGCAAGGGGAAGGCTCTGCAGACTCATTGCATGACCCTGTGAATGGACCGCTGCRCTGCCCAGGCCAACTCACAGAAGTGGCCAGGAGGGTAATTTGTACATGGTTATTTTATCACCATCAGGAATAAAATGGAAAAGAAGAGAAAAGGGATTCCCAAATGCATTGCTGGGCGTGTCCATGGGAGACCTTGCTGAGGGCGTGGGATGGCCCCCGCGAGGGCCCAGGAGGGAGGTTCCCATCCCTGGGATTTGAGCCCTGGACTTGTGGAGACCTCCCAGCCAGCCCGGGAGGGGCAGCGCTTTCCTACCTGTGCCGTTTCCGAAGAGGATGCGGACGCTGAGGTTCTGAGGGGCATCTGGGAGGAAAGACAGGGTCCTGCTTCAGAGTGAGCGGTGGAAAGGGCGTGGGCCATGGAAGAGCCCAAGGGGGCCATGGACACCAGGAAGGGGGTGCTGTCCCTCTGACCCTCCCACCTGGACTCCAAGCGCTCAGTTCCACAAACTGGTTGTCTGACTTTGTCCTTCTACATTCCTACACACACTCACACACACACACACTCACACACACACACTCACACACACACTCACACACACACTCACACTCACACACACTCACACACACACACACTCTCTCACACACACTCACACACACTCACACACACTCACACACACGCACACACCCTGCTCACAATACCCTGGGGACCCGGCTGGCCTCCTGCACTCACAGGACACGTTGAGCGGGACGGTTCTCTCCGTGGTCACCGCAGATCCTTGCAGGGTCACCTGACAGGTGAGGTTGGTGCCGTGGTCCTGGGGCCTCGGGGTGAGGCTGAGCACTGAGGACTGGAGGGCCCCGGGGGCCATGGAGCTAGTGACCGCCCCTGTCCAGGAGAACTGGAGAGGCCTTCCCCCTTCACAGGACCCCGGCAGGCGGCAGCTCAGGTTTGTGGGGCGGCCGGACTCCAGAGTCTCCCGAGAGAGGATGACCGGTTTTTCTGTGAGGGCTGAGGAGGAGAGAGCCAGATGCCTGGGCCCCAGAGAGAGGGGACACCCAGGGGACGCTGAGAGTGACTGGAGCCTCAGGTCCCAGCTGGCCCTGGGTCCTGTACCACCTCTGAGCACCCCGGCCCCAAGACCAGAGCAGGGACAGCTCTAACGTCCTGACCCTGTTCTAATCCAGGGGTCTTCACTACCTGGGTACCATCCTGGGCCCCGCCTACCTGTCACCTGCAGASTCAGCTTCTTATCTCTGTAAGTGTATCTTGTATACCGTCCTATATCTGCCATCAGGAAGTAGCTTCCTGTGTCCTCCTTCTTGGCATCTCTGATGAGCAGAGAGCAGTTGTTGTCCCTGACGTTCCCAGGGAGATGGAATCGATTCCTGTGTTCTGTTCTGACGTCCATGTATGGGTTGTTTGTGGCCACAGGACCATCATAGTATAACCTGTACCCTTCCCGGAACCAGGAGATGTAGAGCTCGCTGGGGGGACTCCTCCCACTCCAGGGGTAGGAGAAGGAGCAGGGTACCAGGGCACACAGGCCAGCCTGCACTGTCACCGACTCCTGCAGCTGGAGCTTGTACCCTGCATCTTCCTGCAGGGACCCTGGGGGGACACAGAGGCTCAGCTCAGCCCCGCCCCCGTCCTGGCCGCCCCTCCCTCAGCCCACTCACCTGCCCAGAGCAGCGGCAGCAGCAGCAGGGGCAGCATCCTGCATGTGCCAGGGCCGGAGCCAGTCCAGGGTCCTCTGAAGCTGGGGTGGGGCAGGACAGAGGAAGCCCTGGCAGGAAGCCAGTGGTGAGTGACAGCTGTGGTCACCCTCCAAAGGGGAACTRGTGCCTTGTGCTGCTGGTGCTGAGGTGGGGCTGGGAACCAGCTGCCTCCCCAACCTACAGTTGCCTCAGGGATGAGCTGAGGTCCCCAGAGGGTGGAGTCTTGTCCAGACAGGAGGCTGGAAGTGCTTCTCCTACAAAATGGTGTAAATCAGCAGTAGATCGTCAAGGAGTGGATGCAGACGGGAAAGAGGACGGACAGCTGGGAGTGGAGGATGTGCCCAGACTCAAGATCCAGAACCCTGAGTGGGGACCCCCTTTCCTGAGGCTCATTGAGTCTCCTCGGGGGAACAAAGAGCAAATTCACTGTTTCACATCAGGAGCTGTGACGAGGGGAGGCTGGGCTGTGTCCAGGTGGTGGGTGTCCCCCCTCAGGAAGGGTGGCCAGTTCTTAGCCACACATACACCACGTGGACGTGAACTGGCCCATAACAGGAAAGATGTGGACCCTCCTGGTCAGTTACCATGGCGTCTCCTGGTCCCTGGGATTTGGGTCACTGACCCTGTGATCGTCCTCACACCTGGTGACGATGTCCAGATCAGGCCTTAGAGTAGGGGTTTGGAGGACACGAAGTACCTGAGGAGGAACCCAGACTTGGCCTATAGCTGTTCAACCTTATGAAAGTCACCTGCACTCTCTGTGTCTAAATTTGCTCATCTGGAAAATAGAGTCAATCATTGAAATGCTGTGTGAGGGTCCCTTGATTCATGTGTGTAGTGTGCCTAGGAGATGCCTGGCACTGAGCTTCATTCCTTCATTCCTCATGGCACCCACAGGGCACCAGATGATACCGCAGAGGATAAGTTCAGGATGGGAGGTGAGTCAGAAATTCCAGTGGGGAGGCAGACTTTTATTATGGAAATTAAAACATAGTCTCCCAGGGAATGATTTGTTCTAGGAAAAATATGAAATCAGGAGTGCCGAAGAGGATTTGTTGAGATCTGCTGTGTTTGGCAACATGGCCAGGGAAGGCCACATGCCCGAGATGCCCTCTGTCAAGACAGGAGGGGAGCAAGGCAGTGAGTTCAGTGTCTAGGCAAAGTGGTCCATTCTAAGGACAGGGCACCTCTAGAACCCCAAGGGAGCACAGGTGACCGGCATGGGAAATGCCAGGAGACGGCAGGACAGTGACGGATGGGAAAGGGGGGAGTGCGATCCTGGAAGTTGTCCTGGGCCAGATGGTGGAGAGATCTGGAGGCTGTTGCATGAACTTGACGATTGCTGAATGCATTCATCAGGGCTCTCCTGAGAAACCCAACCGATTGTATGTGCGTGTGTGTATTTATTGTGGTAGACCCTCTTATTCCACATCTTCACATTCCCTGGCTTCATGGTCCAACAACAACAACAATAACAACAACAACAACAACAAAGAAATTTAAAAGTTGAAGGAAAATTCCAGAAATCCACAATCCAGAAGTTTTAATTTCTCCCCATTCTAAACACTGTGAAGAAATCATGTAATGTCCTGCTCTCTCTTGCCCAAGATATGTATTTTCCTTTTTTCTAGCATATCTATAGCTGTATAGGCTACCCTCCCATTACTATCCATTTCAGTTCTCAGACCAACTGTTGCCATTTCATGGGCTTGTGTTCAAGTAGCCTTTACTTTACTTATTGTCCCCAGAGCACAAGAAAAATTATGTCAACAATTTAGATTGGCCAAAGAGAAATGCAAATTTCTTCCCTTCAGGGAAAATGTGAAAGTTCTCAATGCTTGTGGGAGACTTGGCACTATCTGCAGCTTCAGGCACCCCCTGGGGTTCATGGAAGCAGTCCCTCAGGGATAAGGGTAAGTCCTGGGTAGGGAATTGGCTCACACAATTACAGATGCCAAGATATGTAGTTGGCAAGCTGGAGACCCAGGACAGCCACTGGTGTTGGAGTCCACAGCTGGCAGGAAGAGAGCTAGGAAGAGCCCACATATCAGTTCCAGCCTGAAGGTAGAAAGAAACTCATGCCCCAGGTTGAAGCAGTCAGCAAACTAGATCTACTTACTTGCAGGATGGTCTGTCAGTCTACTCAGGTATTCAACTGGTAAGCCCAGGCCCACCCACATTGAGGAGGGCAACACAATTAACTCAAAGTCTGCTCATTTAAATGTCGATCTTATTCCAAATGCTCTCACTGAAGCACCCAGAATAACGTCTGAGCAAACGTCCAGATAACCCATGACCCAGTCCCTATGATGCCTAAGATGAGCCATTACCCTGAGTGCACTGTGAGGACTGTTCTCGAACAGGAGTTTCTCCTGTTTCCAGTGATCACCCCACTTGCTGCACAAACTTGCCAGTTGCAATGCCAGGGATAGGAGATGGGGACTTGGGGTCCAGATGGGTGTGGTGCAGGGCAGAGGAGTGAGTGAAAAGACAGTGTTTATTGACAGATGCCACAGGAAGAGGAAGAAAAGTTARGGATGAAGCCAGTGTTTGGGGTCTGAGCCATGGTGGGCTTAAAGCGACCAGTGCCAGAGCTCAGCCTGGGACAGGCCGGGCTGGGTGTGCATTAG